CGTTTTCTGGTTTCATGCCTTACAATTCATATTCCAAGGTTACAACAATTTATCATATTCTAAACTAGCACAATAGCACTCAACACTCAACGTCTCATTTTCTCCCTTCTGCGCCGATAAATAATTAAATGTAGATATAGAAGACAATAAAGAACACATACCTGGAGGCTATTCCGGTACAAAATGGTGGTCGGGTTGATGCTTTCACAATTAGCAACTTCATTTCGAGCTATCTCATTCTCACTCAGAGGCCCTAACCTCACCAACACCAGAATCTTCTCTTCCTTCCTAATTCCCATTCCTTGCATTTTCTCCCAATTCATCAATTCTTCCCCACCAATAGCCCCCATTTCTCATACCAGCCTACCCCACTCCCCACCTCTCCTTCAAATGCAATCCAGTGGTACCAATAACAAAACATAAATAATTTGAAGTCCCGCCAAAACCAAAATAATATGGGAATTATTAGAAAGCTTCTCAACGGAGTACAGACCATCTTACTAGTAGCCACAGAGGCAAAGCTGTATGGTTGAACAAAAATAGAGTCGTTGTAGGTGCAATAGGATTAACACAGCACTCCACAACTAGTGAATAAGCTTACCTGCAACAAAAATCCACAACTAGTGAATAACTGAGAAGCTTACCTGCAACAAAAAAGAGTAAGAAAGATCTCAACTACAAATAAAATATTGATCAAGCTAAAAGGGTAAATATCTAGGGACCGAGGGAGTTAGTAGTGATTAAGCACTTTGCTTAATCTTTGGTCTTAATCCTTTTCGTCCAACAGAAACCTAAAATTCCACTTTTGACTGAGTCCGAAACTCTCAGTAGATAAGTTTCCACTGCCGTTTCTTCCTATCCAAATTCCAAAGCATCATAACAAACACAAGAAATCACAAACTATTATTTAATTTCAACTCGTAAAGAGTTAACACTACCAAATGAAATTCCAGTTCGTTAAAAGCTTTTCATATTTTCAAACGAACCAAAAAGACAAAATTCAATCGAGTTAAATATAAGTTAATCCCTCAAAAAATTCAGAATTATAACAAATACAAGAAATCAAATAATCATAACCACAGAAAAGTTAAAATCCCAAAAATACAGTAAACAATAGTAGAGATTTTCACTCCACATTCACAAGTCGATTACCATGTCTCGATAGTGTGATCGGGCTTGGCATTGAGGCCCACTACAAGGATGACGATTGTGAGGAAGCTAGTGACTATTGTGAGGAAGCTGGAGGGTAAGCCGCAAGTGAAGCTGAAGCTTAGGTTTAGGTTTTTTTTTTTTTAAAAAAAGCCCCCTAAAAAAATGGGCCCCTAAGATTTCTGGGCCTGAGGCGGAGGCCTCTTGAGCCTCCCCTCAGGTCCGCCTCTGCCACCAAGAGGAGTATCGCAGTCGAAAATGATCGTACACAAATTGCTCGTACCCTTCTGTTGGTCTTATCATTTCGAAACCTTTAGAG